CAGTTTCTTGCAGGTTCTGTTGGGATCTTGGTTGCCCTTGACTGCCTTCCCTCACTTCTGTCTGTTGGGACTGTGGATGACCCTCTACCCCGTGTGCATGTTGGAGTTGGGTTTCCCCGTGCGTTTGTTGTGTCTGTGGCTTAGCTCCAGCAGTCATCGTGGATGAGCTGGCCTTCGACTGTGTCCCTGATTGTGCCGAGAGGCTTTGTGCTGCATGGTGCCTCATGGCTCCCTGGAAGAAGATCATTGCTGGCAATTTTTGCTTTTTTTTCCACGTCGGGGCCATGATCCTGATTGAATTCGCCCACGCCTCTTGGTTAATTAGGGTTTTTTATTTTGTTTTTTTTAACTTTTTTTTTTTTTTTTTTTTTTTCCAACGGGGTGTCGGAGGGGTTGGTTGTTTTTGTGCTTACCAGGCGTGATGTGTCCCCCTCTTTCCTTCGATGCCCGGCCCCCCCTCCACCGAGTAGTAAAAAACCACCCGGGGCCCCAGAGGGGGATGTACCAAGGATGTCCTCTGCTCTTCCGTCGATGCCCCTAGCTCTCTCCTCCGTTTTGCTGTTCTCTGATCTTCGTCTGTGTCCCCTATTTCCTTTCCACTTGCTGTTGTTTTGGTTCTGTCCTCTTCCTCTGTGTTACTGTCTTGCTTCCTTATCCCTTTCCTCTGTTTCTCCTTGCACGCATGTTTTCCTTTTCCTTCGGTATCATCCGACCCCCTCGAGATTTGGGCAGAGTTCTTTGCGTCACCCCTCTATCAGCCGAGTCGCCACATCAACTTCATCCTTTTTGTTGTTCTCTTGTCGCCCTCGTCTTCCTTTCCGCCCGTCTGTGCGCTTTCCTTCTGACCATCATGAGTCTTAATCCACTTGAACCTAGATGGTTCTCCCAACCTGCGGACCCCCTCACTGTCTCGGTACCGCCGCCCTCTCACCTGTCAGCCTACTTGCCCTCACGGCTCGGCGCCGCCACTCCTTGCCACCCTCCCGCCGAAGCTTCCTTCCAACCTGGTGGTCCTGTTCCTTTCCCGCGCGTCGTCACGGTCACTTTCTCCTCTCGTATCCCTGGGTGACGATCGACGGTTTGCGCCCTCGTCGTCGCGAACCTGCCGCCTTCTCGTCTTGTATCTGTTCCTTCCTTCGTATTTGTTGCGACAGTTGTCGTTCTTCTTTACCTGGTTGTCTTTCGCTAGTTCGTTGTCTTCGCTGCTCCCTGAATTTCAGACGCCTTCCTTCTCGTTTTGTGTCTATATCCTCCGTCTTTTTCCTTGCTTCTGATGTCGTCCTTCTTCAGTCCGTTGACTTCTCATAGGTCCTACAAATGCTCAAAAACCCTTGAAATCCCTGGCAAACCCTTCCAAAGCACTCCAACACTGTCCTACTCCCTGCCAAGCTCTTATCCCTACTCACCTTCGTCATTGTTGTTTTTGTTGCTGTTGTTATTGTCAGCATCCTCTCCTATCTCAACCATCTCGTTGTTTTTGCCAACTTTGTTGTTGTTGTTGTTGTTGTTGTTGTCGTTGTTGTCGTTGTTGTCAGCATTCTCTCCCCTCTCCTCCATCGCGTTGGTATTGTCGTCGTCGTCGTTGTTGTTGTTATTGTTGTTGTTGTTGTTGTTGTTGTTGTTGATGTTATCCTCCTTCACTCCTATCTCACCCAGTTCAACCATTCGCCGCAAGCTGCCGTTGTTGTTGTCATTGTTGTTATTGTCATTGTTGTTGTCGACCATCCCACCCTTCTCGCCAATCCCGCCCATTCCTTGCCTCTCCTCTGCCAACCCCTGCTCCACCTCCCATATTGTTATTGTAGATGTTGTTGTTATTGTGACTGTTGCCGTCGCTGCTGCCGCTGCCGCCATTTCCACCGTTGCCAATAACCCCCACTCCCCTTCCCACTCACCTGCGTCGTTAGTGGCACATTTCCCCCCCCCCCCATCGCCAACTGCACTCTCATCCCTGACCTCCCACTCACCTGCGTCATCAGCGACATATTCCCTCTCCCCATCGCCAACTGCACTCTCCTCCACAACTTGGTAAGACAGTGCCATCAAGTTAGCCCACCTTTCTTCTCCCCCCCCCTCATCATCACCGGGATATTCCCTCTCTCCATCGCCAACTGCACTCTCCTCCTCAACCTGGTAGGACAGTCCATCAAGTTAGCCCACCTTTGTTCTCCCCCCTCCCTCATATTCATCACACTCACACACAGCAACAACACAGCTCGTCTTCCCGATGTCACACATAGCGCATATATTTGTAAAATTGTGGAGCACATCGCAATCATTATCTTGCTCATCTTCAGCATCTTCTGTAAGCGAGACATCATCTTCATTATCGCCAAGTGTATCTGTAGTCGAATTGCTCCATGTTGTAGCTCCCTTACCATCTTCATCCCTCACCCAAATTGTTGCATCACATATTACAATTCGTCGTCGGTCTTCAGTGTTGGCGCTACCCCTGCCCGAGCGTCGCGGACATGCACATCCTTACAGCAGATGCCACGTGGCAATCGAAGAGCCACGCGCTACTGCCGGACGCGCGCACAGGCCTAGCAGCCAGGGAGCTTACCTCCCCAGGCGCTAGTCGAGCCGGGGGAACCGGTCCTACCGGTCTGCAGGCGTCGGGGCGCTAGCGCTAGCGCAGCAATCCTCCGGTCTTTCTACATCATGGCATAATGCCCTAGTTTTCTCATATATATATATATATATATATATGTACATTATATATACTATATTATTTCAGGTTATGAACAATAGTTTATCCTGTCCACGGCTGCGCAAACTTTAAGTCAAATATCAAAACCTTTATCAAAAAAGTCACACGGTCATGAATTACATGTAAATCAAACTCACAATCATTTGGTCATACTGTCAAAATATTGCAAAACAACCATAATGTTTCATGACATCTAAAATAATTGTTGTACAAATGTCTCTCAATGCAGAAAAAACTTCCATGTATGTACACCAAGTAAACCAACTACGAAAATTGAGACAGGTTCCATTAAATTGTCATTGTGTACCTAACTCTGTAGAGAGGGAACTCGGGTAGTGTTTAGCATATGTTGAGACATGTTGAAATCTTGTTGAAATCTTGTTGAAGCAATGTTGAGATGTTGTTGACCTTTTGTCAATCAACATTGTTCAACGTTGGTCTTCATATTATAAGGCATATCAACAGATGAAATACATACAAAACCAAACTCCTATGTTGAAAATCACCGAAAATCGCTCGACATTTTTTCTGTTGCAGTTTTCAAAACCTACCTACCACTCTCCTAAGGCTCTACAGGGAACCCCTGCAAACATAGCTTTCTACCTCTCTTGGTGCAGGAAGGTCTATCCGTGGAGTTCTGTAAATCAAATCTTTTTTCAAAACAGAGGCCGTCCCGGGGGTCACTAGTGTTGGTGATATGAGCAGCCCCCACTAGTATACCTTAGAACAGTTAGCTCTGTTGATGTGGCTCAGTGGTTAGAGCACCGGTTGGAAATGCGCATTGTGGTATGAGGTTGTGGGTTCAAAACTCAATTGCAGCCTTGCGCATGGACACCGACAAGGCGTTAGAATGACGCACGGATGGACATACACTCCCTTGGGCTGACGCATGGTACTGTTACAGACACTGCCTGCGCACCACCCAAGGGTTGTTCATGGTGTTGAATGTTGGTTCTGGGTTTCACATGGGTTGCTTGGAAGGCGCTGGTCTTGGGTGTTCTGTCGATCTCCCGGGTCGGGCATATCACACGTTCATGCCATTTCCGCTAGTTGTTCACATGATAGACTCACTTGATTACATGCTACAAGGTCACGGGTTCGAGCTTGGTCCGAACCTTGGGGGGGTTCTTGTCCAACTTACCCCGTTCTCGCTTTGAAATATACACATGATGCTGCATATACATCTCGATACATTGATTCACAGAGCACACACAACCTTCGGGCATATTATATAAGGCTTATGCCCTAGGGTAAGGGCAGGACGAAAATAAGTCGCTCCGGCGCCTACGGTGTCTGGACCTAGGGTCTAGAGTCTCTTGGGATGACTTGGGGGGTCTAGTCACTGAGTGGGGTCTAGTATCTGTAGTAGGTACCGGTAAGGGTCGCCGGAGTCCCCCGTGATATTTGAGTTTACCCCGCTCTCGCTTCGAAATACTATGATCTTGTCTCGTCATCCTGACCAAAATCAGGACCTTATACAACTCTACACCATCTCGGTCACCACCATTGATGATTTGATAATCACTGCATTTTGCACTCAACACTGTTACTGCCTTGATTTTTGCGACATCTATACGAAATTGTGGCGGTATCAGACCATTCCTTTGACCATGACCCGTGCTTCACCAATATGTTTTCGCGATGCCTACACGACATATACAAATCCCAACTCTGCTTCTCGTCGTTTTACCATCCTTAGACGGATGGTCAGACTGAGGTTACCACCAAAACTATCGTTAATATCCTCCGAAAGGTTGTTACGGATGATCGACAGTGAGACTTACACTTAGCTCATGCAGAGATTGCTTACAACCATGGTGTTTCACCAGCTATGGGGACTTCGCCATACTCCAGTGACATTGGCTATCATCACCCTCGCAATTGCACCCTGACACTTATTGCCTCTCCCTTGACGAGTCGGTCGAGCATATGGATTTATTTTTACTACACACGCAAGAGTATAGCCGTCTCGCACACTGGAATGAGAACCGATCGTGAATGAATCATTCATTTAAATTCAGTGATGATTGTTCGTTGATGCCCGCCACTTGCAACTTGTAGCTTATACACTTCGCAAGTTCAGGCGTCGCTTCTTCAGTGCATGGTGCATCCTTCAAGTCATCAGTTCTGATATTGTCGATAGATCGGTAGCTTCCATGTTAAGTTGTTTGACTATTTTCATGATAAATTAAAGTTAAAAAAACATTTAAAAAAAAAAAAAAATCTTCATATTTGTAAATTATCATTTCAAAGTTCGTCAAATTCTAAAATTTACAGTTTTATTTTATAAGTTCCCGTCTAAGTATGAGTTTTCCCTTCCAACTACATCTATTTGTTCAAAATGGAATGGAAGTCTTGACGAGTTTATGAAATATTTTAATTAAACTTTCATTCTACTACAACAAATATCTTCTAATTTGGATTGAATTAGTTTTTTTATGATTGGAAATCCTTACTTAGAATGACAGTCCAATTAAAATATTTCATGAACTCATCCAGACTTTTATTCCATCTCTAGCATGCAGTTCAAATAAGAAGGGATACCCCATTCTTGGAAGGAAAGTTTTCAAGTTAGACGGGAAATTTTAAAATTGGAATGACATTTTTAAAGATGGAATGAAAATTTGAAATTTAGAATGCAATTTTACTATAGAATGATTATTTAATTTTGGAATTTTTTTCTGTTAATCTTTGACATACTTAGTTATATGATGCTTATCACCTACGTAGCACCGTGTTCGTGTTCGGCGGCGAACGCGAACAAACGCCCAAAACCCTCCGAACGCGAACATAAAAATATATATTAAAAAAACGTTCTCAGAAAAATCTGAAAAAAAAAAATGTTATGTAAAATAACAATACAAGCAACGTTTGCCTTGTTGTCATGTTCAAATTCGTAGCCAATCATGAGTTAAAATTTTAAAATCAAAAAAATAATATATATATCGTCAAATAGAACTGCCCGGTAAACCGTAGGCAGAGAGGGAGAAGACGACAACAAACGAGGGGCTGTGACAAACTGTTTCGTCGGAGTTTATATTTTTTTTGCAAAAAACAATTATGTTCGTCCGAACATGTTCGCGAGCTGTTCGCGCGAGCACGTTCACCCGAACGTGAAGGGGCACGAACACGTTCGTCGTGCTACGCAGCTTATCACGTCTCCTTGATGCGTCCATATCACAGATCGTCCGAACGGTTCGTCGGATGCCCTTACGCGTGTTTTCCACCTATCATGGTATATGGTCACACGAAGTTCGTCGTCTCTGACATAGTATCTCGCCAAATTACCTACGATACCCCTCCACGCATCGAGTACTTTAGTGTTTGAAGGGTTATCCTAACGAGAAGGCTACTAGGGAGCCCCTAGAGCACTTGCAACAGACCACGACTTTTATGCATGCATATGATCGTCTTCATCGTGTCGAGACGTATGGTCCTTCTCAACTGACTGACCCTCATTCTTTTTCTCCAACTAAGGATATCGTCGAGAACGGGTCTGCCCCTTTTGAAGTCGTTCTTCGGCGGTAGACGGATGTCTCCGCGCGTCCATAGCACTCCCGTCGTTACCTTACGCGTTATGACGACTGACACTCTCATTACCTACCTATCTTCTCACTGGCTCACGTCTTCATGTACTCCATCATCAACTCTACTTCAGTATGTCAACGTTTTGTGGCCCTGGTTCAACATCACTCACACTTCATCGACATCATCGACTATTTCGATAACTTCAACAACTTCATCCGCTTCAACTACTTTCGACATGACTCCTTCACGCCACCAACCTATCTTGTGCATTCCCTTTTGTGTGTTGTATGATGGTTCTCCTTGCCTTCCCCTAGCTAATTCCCCCTGGGTTGTATTGTCCATCGGTAGCGTATAGGCAATGAGATCCGTAGCGTTATTATGACTTTCATCCTCCGATTCTAGCTCTTTCTAAATCGGTGATTTATATGTTTGATCCCCTCACGCACCACATTCATTACCCTAGTTCCGGCCACCTTTCGTTAGGTATTTCATTACATTTCAGGCTCGCCTTTCATGGTAGATTCTGCATGGTATTACCCATTTGTCGAGCATTACCCGCCTTGATGATATATGTTAGGCTTATTGGTTTCGTTGTGTTCCCTCCCACCTTGAGCATGATGACTATCCCACTTTTGTGTATGACTGCCCCTAGGAGTTTTAGTTCTTAGGCTGCATTCAACCCCTCTGAGACCATCCCACCCCGGTGGTTCGGCAAAAAGACATTCTCCTATGATATATTGCTATATTTTTTTCCCTTTCAACATTGAGGCAATTGGCTCCATAACTTTAGGATAGTATTATGACACATTTCATTTCTTGTGCTAGTTAGGATGTGTATATCACGCATATACTTTTCTTTATGACATTATGTAGCTTAGCCTGCATCGCATGAATTATGCATGGAACTTGCTCCGTAGCTTTATTATTTGCAAAGTTCCGTTGCTTTTGGCGGATAGCATGTTTATGGCTTTTGCGACCCACTACATGTCT